TCCAACGCCCGCCCCGTTGGGGGGGCGGCGGCGGCCCCGGCGAGGCGCGGTTCGCGAACCCGCGGTTTGCCACCCCCCCTCCGACGAACCATCTCGGCAACGGCGCCGGGAATGGGGGGGGGGAGGGCATCCCACGCGTCCTCCCGCCCTCCCCGCCGTACGGCCCGAGCAAACGCCCGTTGATCGAAGGCAAACCCTACGACGAGGACCCCGTGCCGATCGACACGACCAAAATCCAACTTATCGTGAATTTTCTCCCACAGCGACTCACCAATGAGAAGTTTCGGGCGCTGTTTCGCCCGTACGGGGCACTTTATGAGCGGGCGAGCCACATCATCTACGACTTCCGCCACATGAAATCCCCTCCTGGCCCCCGACTACTCGGGGATATCGGGGCAAACAGCATGACGAACGCGATGCGGAGTAAAGGCTACGGTTTCATCTACTACCGCGATGGGGCGAGTACGGAGGCGGCGATTAAGGAGCTCAATGGGCGGGAGGTCCTTGGGCGGCGGATTAAGGTTCGCTACGCCGGGCAACAGCGTCCGGTGGATGATCTCCTCGAGGACGACCCCGTCAAAGGGGCTGAGGAGGAGGACTTCAGCTATTATTTCTCCATGCCCCATCTTCTTACGATGATGGATACGATTGTCGATCACGAGGACGATAGCGTGGGAGGAGAAGGAGGAGGGGTGATGAACGGTGGGCCTTGCCTGACCGTGCCCCTTTGCGAGGATTCCGCCGATCTCGGCTACGTTGGCGCCCCGACCGCCTTCCCGAAGCTCTTCGACGGGGCGGTCGGATCCTGCACCGGCAACACCAGCTCCCGTTCCCCTTCTTCCGTCTTACCGGACGAGTGAGCGGAACGGGTACCCGCTCGATAAGCAATTATAGCAAATTTATGATTAATTAATAATAATAAATGAAGATATATATAAAAGATTAACTTCAAGCATTCACCCATGATATTCATTCGGCGTCTGTGTGTTTGTCTATTATTGGAATGCATCGGATACTTTTTTTTTCATTACTTTTTTTTGGGTTTTCTTTTTCAAAGTGATTTCCTCCTGGTACGTTTTTCATAAAGGATTATGATTTTTGTTATTATTTACTCTCTTTTTTTTTTACTATTATTTTTATTATTGGCGAAATGTATCTCAATCCTTTTGAAGTATATTTTCCTCTTTTTTTGTTTTGGTATTTTGGTTCTGCACTTTCTCTCCCTATGGTTGGATCCTTACTTTGTGAAGCATTCAGAAGGAAAAGCCACTAGGAAAGTGTGTGTGTGTATAAAGGAGGTAAAAAAAAAACGACAACTACATATTCATGCACGACTTGACTATATGTTGTGCGTGCATATTTCTTTATTTCATTTTTACCTTTATATTTCGCCTTTGGACTACAAAAGTGCTATTACGATTGCTTAAGGAGTTTATTTACTAATTGTGTCTTTTGGCCAATATTTTTCCCATGCTTTCCAGAGATTTCACAAGTACGAAACTTTTATTTTTTCTTTTTTTTTTGCTCCTTTTTTCTTCGTTTTCTTTGTGTACAGTTCTTATGAGAAAGGAAATGTAAATATGTGATGTGATCAAGACGTACAGATAATCTCACCTAAAACCATCTATAAAGCTCTAAAAGTAATGTAATGATTAAAAATATAGACGCTTTTGGGCTTTAGTTGTGCTTGATTATCTTCCCACTTGCTTATTCCCTTCATTATTATTATTTTTACTACTACTTTGAATTCCTTTCATTCTTTCTTGTTGTTGTCTTCACGCTATTTATTTGTCTATTCAGTAAATTCCTTCAAATAAATGCCGCATTTTATCTTTTCTCATTTTGCTTACTGTTTTTTTTTCATTTGGAGACACAAAACATATATATTAATATATATACATATGTATTCGTTTTTTTCTTTTTGTTAGGTATTTTTAACCATCAGTTTTTTTCTCCCGCGTTTATTGGTCCCCCCAACGGACGTGTTTATCGAATATTATATATTTAACCCTTCTTGTTAAAATTCGTTGGTAATATCAGTAAGGCGCGCGGAGGAAAATAAAATACAAAAGTGCCTCAACAAGAATCATAATCTCGGAGAAAAACAACTGTCTTAATCAATGTAACCTGTCCTTGAGTAGGAAATATTTTTTCTTCCTTACTTTGAACATGAACAGAAAAAGTAATGTGAAATGTATACGGACATTAAAAAATGTCTTGAATGGTTTTACTGTTTTTTTTGTTTTTCAGATGGTATTAGTAAATTAGTGGTCCTTTGTTTTTTCTACTTTCATGTAAACTAGGAATTTCCATAGTGACAATCTTTTGAAAGCTGCAGGCTAAGAGTTTACGTGATAATAGCTTCCATTGCTTTGCTTAAGATAGAACAAAAAACCGTAGGAAATAAACCACGTAAAAAACGTTTATATTGACGAAATGGAATCAAGCTTATTTTCCTCTGTAAAATATTGACTTTTTGCGTTTGAAACAAATTAGGGATGTCTTTAACCCGACCCCTTTGCTTCTGGGGTTTATTTAAATAAAATTGTTCAGAACTAATATATCTAATATATATATTTATTATTATGATTTTCAGGCCTCTTTTGCATATATCAAGTGCACGTATGGCGTAAATGTAGATATGATTGTACAAAGAGGGTAATAATGTCTGTTTTCCACACGAAGTAAACGGAGAAGAAGAACTGATTTTTCGTCAGTTCGCATATATATATTTATATATACATGTATGTATGCACTTTTTTGTTGCTATTTGACCGGAGGGAAAAGCTAAAAATGCTAAATTTAATTCTATTTCTATCATTATTCCTTGTGTACATCTTAACTTTAGACGTTTTTATTCACCTAGATGTGAAGGGTTATTTTTGTTCTTCTCGTTGTTTTAGCTCTGAGAATGTCTGTAAAATGCCCCATCAATTTTCTCAGAATGTCATTTATCGTTTTACTATAACTATTTTAAAATTATATGCAATATTAAGTTCTTTTGCAATGTAGTTGTTTTTTTTTGACTTGATTTTGACTAGTCTATTCATGCAAAAGCAGACACTTACTCCTTTGAGTAAAGCTAAAAGGAGAATAAATAAATATGTAAAAGGATTTGGGCTAGTTCTAAAAAAAATTTTCCTTCCTTTATAAGCATTTTCTCCATTGCTTGGGGTTAGTTTTACTGCAAAGGCATCTTTTATCTTATGACCTTTATTGAAAATGGTTTTCACTTAAGGGATCCTAGTGCCTTTTTTATGTTTTTCATTTTGCCTGGGGTGATCTTTTGTTCACTTAAAACCTTTTGATTATGGATTCTTCCCTTAATGTCGTGCTTCTATGCTGGGAAAGGGGATAATTATCGGAATTTCATTGTTTTTACAGAGCATCATACTACTTATATACATTTTTATTTTAACAAATGAACAATCAATCGGATACAAAAACGTGGTGTTTTGTTTTCATAAGAGCAAATAGAGGTAAAGAGAGCCTCGATGTACAAATGGAATGACAAAACAACAAAATGCATTTAAAGCATTAAATGGAAAAAAGTAGCAAGTTGGTTTATTCCCTGATGTTTTACCTTTTCTTTTGATTTCAGCCCGGGTAACGTTTTTATCAGTGATTTATTGTTCAGAACCGGTGTTATGAAGTATTTCATTACAACAGGCAAGCGGAAATGAGTAAGTTTTGGGAAATGTGAAAAAGTTCCCTATTTTTATGTAATTTCTTGTTGTTGATAATTTCGACAACACTCCCCATTAACATGAAAGATAAGGTAGTACATTCAACACAAGTGCGCTTGCGCACGGGCCTCGATGAACGGGGTGACTTCCATCTCCCTCTTTGAACAGTGAGTGCACACTTCGAAATACGCTTTCCTCTTAACCTTCTTTTTGTTTTTGGGTTTTGTTTCATTTTCCTTCTTTGAGTTCCATCTCCATTCGACACGACCTTCCGTAGCCTCTAAATGCACCCTTTGGGGGACGTTTCTTCGCTACAATGAACTCCGAGCGTGCGGCGATTTATCGCGTGTGCGATCTCGCGGAGTCGATCGCGCGTCACGCGGGGCGGCCGCTTTACGCTTTCCTTCTGCTTTATTCGCTTCTCCGGCGTGGTGGGGTAGGGGGTTCTGCGGGCCCGGAGCCGTCGCCGTCGCCGTCGTCGTCGTCGTCTGCCCCTCTTCGTCGGCTCGATCGGGTGGTGTGGTCGCCTTGGTTCAGCCTCGAGGAGGGGCTGATTCGCGTTCGGGCCGCGGAGTTGCTCCTGCGTGGGGGGCCCGTCGCCCCGCCCA